GCACCTGTTGACACTTAATGACTCTAAACTGTTCTGCATTCCTATACAAAACTAATATTTTTATCTGTTTTATAAATTCAATGTTTCTTTATTTAAGAAAATGATACTTCTTTGAAGTAAGATGTTTACAAATAGTACCATGTTTCCCAAAGAATAAGACAGGGTCTTATATTAATTTTTGCTCCAAAAAACACATTAGAGCTTATTTTCAGAGGATGTTTAATTTTACAGTCATGTCATCTTCTGGTTGCTGCACAATGCTGCACAATGGTGGAAGGCAGGGTTTCACTTAACTGGGGCTTATTTTTGGAATAGGGCTTATATTCTGAGCATCCTGAAAATCATACTAGAGCTTATTTTCAGGTTAGGTCTTATTTTTGGGGAAACAGGGTAGCAATTAGTCACTGACGTTTTCAATGATCATTCCTATCATGAGTAAGATAATAAAATAGCTACCCCAATGTTTTTAAATACTACAATTGTATATCGTACCAAAAAGTTACCTATAATGGCTATCACACTTGGCACTCATAATCAAAGTAAATTAACATGCTAGCATTGAATGCTCTGGATACTATTCGTCTCCATCTTTGCAAAGGGCAGCCTGAATTCCATTAAGGCAGGCTAAGGGAACCCAGGCTGCCCTTTGCAAAGATGGTGGCTGCAGCTTCCCTGTCCTAAAATAAGCTGCAGCCACCATCTTTGCAAAGGTCAGCCAGTATCACTTATAGCAGGCCGTGGCTGCAGAGGCCACCACAGCGGGCGGCGATGGATGGTGGCAGATGATGTCAGTAACTAAGGTGGGAGGAAGGGGGTAGGGACATGCTGTGCAGGTGGCTGGCTGTGGATCTGCTTGGCTGCCTATGGTTCTGCTGATCCGCAGGCCCACAGGCAGAGTGGGAAAGCCCTATGGGGATGAATAAAAATTGGGCAATATTCATCCTTTCGTATTCGTCAGGGGCTCTGGAACTCACAAATATGAAGGGACAAATATTTAATGAATCAGAAATTTTAATGAATGTCACGATTCTTTTTTTATTCGTCCCCATGTCTAGTATAGACTAATTGACCGACTTGATTGCTATTTCTATATAAAGATACCAACAAATCAAAGGCATATCAACAAATCTCTATTAGTGGTTATGTTATATACTGGACACTGAATTCCCAAGTTTCCAATATCTTCGTAAAATAATATCGCTAGTCTCAGAAGAACTATTGTTATGAGCTATCACGTTGTTTCTAACCTGGGTTGATCTTAAAACAGTTTTCAAGCTATACAAAATGTACATGTGTACCACTGCTATGCCCCTACTAAGTTTCCATGGCTGAGTAGGGGTGTGAAGCCAGGTCTCCTGAATCCACAGCCAGCACTCCATCCACTATACCCTACTGTCTCTCTATAGTAGAATTATAGTCAAACAGCATTCATTTTACACACTAATTTTCTCTTCCTTGTTAAAGTATTGGCTCACACACGATTTCTCCATATACGTATCACATTACCATCCACCACTCCGTATACTGGATCACAGTGAATTCTACAGAACCCTTCAAAAGTTGTATTTCTTACTAGAATACTTTTTTTAAAAAAATCAAGATTTTTGAATACAGAGTTGAAAATACACTTACATTGTCTATTTCAGTTCCAATTTTCAAGATGCCATTAATGAAAACTGGATCATTCTAACAGGAGAAAAATGAGGCATATCAACAAATCAACTTGCTGTTAAACTGCCCTGCTTACAAGTTATATAACAGAAGAAAATCCCAAAATTTAATTTCAGATAGAATGTTAATAATTTCAGTGATGTTTATTGGGTTACCAAAGGGACTGAAATATAAAGAACACTAAATACATTGTTTTCTTCTGTTATATCTTCAAACTCATTATTAATACAGTGTTTGATTACACCAGACAATGTGGGATATCTTGGTGTAGAAGTAGAAAATGTGGAACCTTCCAGGTGCAGTGGGACTTCAATTCCCATTCAATCTAGCCAATTACAGCCAAAGGAGAGGGATAGTAAGAATTTTACACATCTCTCTCTTAGAATTTTACTCTACAAAATAGTACAATCCTAACACAACAATGTGCTTGTTAAAGACAGTTAGAGATGTACAGGGCAAAAGTTTAGAATAAACATAATATATTTAATTCATTAGGTAACTTTAAATTTTTGCTCCAGCAAGTGTCAAACAGAATTATAATGATTAACATTGTTGTTGTTGTTGTTTAATCGTTTAGTCATGTCCGACTCTTCGTGACCCCATGGATTATTATTTATTTATTTATTTATTTGATTTATATCCCGCCTATCTGGACCCACGGACCAATCTAGGCGGCTTCCAATACAAGATAAAACAATAAAACATAAAATATACATAGTCATATTAATCAGAACATGCCAGGCCCTCCAGTCTTCCACTGCCTCCCGGAGTTTGGTCAAAGTGTTTTAATTAATGGTAGCCAGGAGAAGGAGATGCAACTACTGTATCCCCACTCAACAACTGAATTGTGGGACAGATAGTCCAAGGTATCTGGAAAATGACAGGTTGGGGAAGCCAACTTAAACAATAAAAATAGCAGATTTGAAGGAATAAAGAATAAAATTCCACTAGGGAAACAGTACAATCATAGAAACATACGTATTTCTTTCCAATGGGTTTCTTTAAAAATAATAATTTCATATTTAACTTAACTTTTAATGTGATTAACCTGTAAAGATACACACACACCGGGGGAGGGGGAGAATTATTTAGAGAGATAGAATAACTAATCTATCAGAAATACTCCAGCAGGTTTTTAAAAAAGTTGAATAAGGGATATGGCAAGAAAGGAGCCAAGCCACACCAGATGCAAACCTTCTCCAACCTAGAAACACAACCACTATGCTCATACAAAATCAGGGCGGGGAAGAGTAATTCTAAGTACCATATTTCTCCGCTTATAAGACGGCCCAATGTATAAGATGCCCCCCCTTTTCCAACTCCAAATTAGAAAATTTGATCCCTGCTTTTCTCTTCCTTTTGCAAAGCCATGGGGCTTAGCAAAAAGGAAAGGAAGGCTCCCTTTGGGTAAAGGCGGCACAGTCACAGAGATTTGATCCTGAAGCCCTTTCACAGCTGCTTTACCTGAAGGGAGCTTTTCCTTCCTTTTTTGCTAAGCCCCATAGATTCGCAAAAGGTAGGGAAAGCAGCTGTCTTCCATGTATAAAACGACCCTCAATTTTTTGTCTAATTATTTAAGGAAAAGGTGTCATTTTTATACACGGAAAAATATGGTAATTTCCAACAACCCTAGGCTGGGAGGGATGATTCCGCACAGCTGTAAATTGTGTATCATTGGCTCAGCCAGCCCTTGACTATCCTGACCAGTTAGGATTATGCACTAAGTCAGAAATACAAAGTGATTTTCTTTCTGTCCCTTAAAAAATTTCCGTGTAATATTTATGTTATCTTTCAAGTACTAATATACCACTAAATTATCAGATGACACAAAACAGAATTCAAAAAACACAATACAAGCAATGACTTACCGCAAATTTTTTTGCTATATCTGTAACATCTTCTAAAGTCTCAATTTGATAGAGCTTCTCTAAATTCAATTCACCAAACTGACAATCACTTAAATATAAACAGAACCATGTTATATGCCATTCTATGCTACTATTCATTAAATAAGCCAAAACTTGCAAACAGTAAACTACAGCAAATATTATTTAGTATCAGTTGAACACCTGTTACATATGCCACTACAGTACTATTTAATATATTTAAAATCTATAATCTAGTCCTGGTCCAATCAACTCAGTCAGCAGCAGGCCCAGCTGAGTTCTCAGGGAGTTATCCCATTGCATATTTTATTTCAGAACTGCAGCCCTAAACCCTTCCAGTCCATCTCCTCCGACAATCTTCCCCATCAATGCATCTATCACATCTATCAGCTCCTATCATCTCTTGTCAACATGGCCAACGGCTGTGTTGGTAGGATATTATAGGAATTGCACTGTAGCAGAAAGTGACTACTGTACTAGGTTTGGGGCTTTTAGCATTTTTTGTTTTATTTGAAAAATTTGCCCTATTTCTTTTACTATTATTTTCCCCATTATTTAATACACAATATTTTTTATCATTTATCTATATAGATATTGCAAGACAAAGAAGTTATCTATAGCTAAGCTATCAAACAAGAATGCAAAGCATACATTTAATGAATGTACAAAAATATTTGTTCACCTGAGATCATAACAACTGTTTGTGGGGTTACACTGAGGCACAAACAGAAGTGGTCTAAAGGTACATATTTTAATCACATCACAATATCTGCGCAACTCATCAACTGGCTTACTGCACCATCTTTTACAGATATCACCTGCAGAACATGAAAAGGATGGGAGGGAGAAAATGAGAAAGATCCCAAACAAGGGAAGGTTTCTACTTTGAATATGCATACCATTGTTTAGGCATTAACATTATATATTACACTGCTCTGACTTTGTATATCCAATCAAAGCACAAACTGAGCCATTTAACACAATATAAAAAAAGATTCCACAGTCAGGCAATCTTTTTATTGGGACCAATATGAATGCTACAAAACTTATGCAAGCTTTCTAATCCCCATCAAGTTTGGTCAGTGGTTCCCAAGCTTGGATAACCTAGGTGTTACCAGACGTTAATTCCTAGAAGATTTCATCACCAGCTGTGCTTCTTTTGTGATGAAATGAGATCAAGGTTGGGAATCACTGACTTAGGTGATACAAGAGGAAAATGGTGGGATCAAAATAGAAAAGTTCAAAACATGAAGAGATTGAACAAATTAGTTACTGACAAGACACTGAAAATTATCAGATTACACGCAGCATTATAGGATTCATTATGATGAATCCATGCCTGACTGTCATTTTTGAAAACACAAAGGTAAGGCATATTGTCAATTTGTCTCTTATCCTGACATCAATAAGCGAATTCTAGAATACAGAAATGTTCTTATTAACTTATATTGTCAGTTTATGTACCTGAATTATATGTCTTTGAAGAACACTTCACAAATTGTGCACGAGCCTACAAAACAGATATTTATCATTATTGCTCTGAAGTCAATTAATATGAAGTAAATGTTTAAAACACATTTAGTGAACAGGGTGTCATATGAGACAATAATATTTTGAATACACAATATGTCAACAAGGTGTCAGGTACAGTGGTGCCTCGCTTTACGATTGCCCCACATTACGATGAAGCCGTATTACGACGATCTTTTTGCGATCGCAATTGCGATCGCAAAATGATGGTCTGAATGGGTTTTTTTTTTTTGCTTTGCGATGATCGGTTCCCTGCTTCGGGAACCGATTCTTCGCAAAATGACGATTTTAGAACAGTTGATTGGTGGTTTCAAAATGGCCGCCAGGTAAACAAAACGGCTCCTCACTGTTTTCTGGGATGGATTCCTCACTGCACAGGCACCGAAAATGGCCGTCCTATGGAGGATCTTCGCTGGACGGTGAGTTTCCAGCCCACTGGAACACATTGAAGGGGTTTCAATGCGTTTCAATGAGCTTTTTATTTTCGCATTATGATGTTTTCATTCTACAGCGATTTCGCTGGAACGAATTAACGTCGTAATGCGAGGCACCACTGTATCAGAATGTGCTCTCTTGCTAAAGTCTCTCCTACCAACAGGTTTCTCAAAGCAGGGTGAGAGAAGGGTCTGCATTCTGAAAAGCTTCATGTTACACGTTAACATAAGCACGTTGAGCCTACTTTCAATGTTAATACAGAAGTACCTTATCTGCCACAGGATAAAGACAAAAAAGCTGTAGAAAGATGAATTAATTGTCTTGTTACAGAACTACATAAAACAACCTATGAAAGAACAATTTAAAAGTACTAGTACATAAAAGAATTTCTGGAATAATGAACACAGATGGAGTGTACAGTGTACATAAAGTGCTTAATAGTTTGTGATAATGCCTTCTCCTTCCTTCCTCCTTATGTAACGAAATGATATCAAACTACCAAAAGGACCATTATCGATGCCTCTCTTACACAGTATGATCCCACAAGGTCCAAAATTACACACATCTATTGAAATGTTCCAGGATGCACCTTTTACATCAGATGTCAAATATGTTGTTTCTTCTACAATATCTTTCACATATACGTATCTTTGTTCTACAAATAAAAGATATGAGCATCTGAAATGGGTTAAATACTAGTGGTCTTTGCTGCTCTATCTCTGTGCACTTCAAGTAAAAAGTATTAACAAGAAAATCTGTACTATTGAGCCACTTACCAATTCGCAACATGGTCTGATATAAGTACTATAAAATGTGATGCGATGAAAATCTTCAAATGTAGAATTTTCCATATTACATGATCCTGAAGCAAAACAATGAGAAAATATTTCAGGAAAACACTTGATTTATCATAAACAGTGGAGGGGGAGGACCCTTGAATATTTTAATACAAGGTTAAAATAGAAAGTCTAGTGAGGATCAAATCGAGCTGATGTCAATACTTCGATCTTTTCGAGCTTTTCTGGAAACAGCAAAAAGCAAATCATTAAAAAGCAGTGAAATAACTTGGACAACAGACACAATCAGTTCCAAATATAGTATCAGTCTACAGATCACAAAAGCATTTAAAAAATTTAACAAAATCTCTTTATGCAACACAGTACATTATCTAATAGCAAAGTATATCATGCAGCATACTTTGCTTGCTGCAATCTGAGTGCAGTTAGCTGGGAGACAACTCCACTCAACTAATGTTTCAATTCTGAGTAAATATATATATATCCCATTAGTCTGTAAATTTCAAAGATCTGCCAACTAGGTCAATTCATTATGCTTACTAGATTACAAATAATGCTTTTTCTTCAATTAATACAGCAAATACATTTAAGTTTTCTAAGGAGGTAAGAAATGTAAATTTTGTTCTGATTTTTCCTTTGCACTATAGGGTTCCCCCCTTTTTTGTTTATTATGAATCATTTTAAGTATACTATTTAAGAAAACATAGTATGCAGGGACGTGGTGGCGCTGTAGGCTAAACCGCAGGAGCCTGTGCTGCAGGGTCAGAAGAACCAAGCAGTCGTAAGATCGAATCCACGTGACGGAGTGAGCTCCCATCACTTGTCCCAGCTCCCGCCAACCTAGCGGTTTGAAAGCATGTAAATGCGAGTAGATTAATAGGGACCACCTCAGTGGGAAGGTAACAGCATTCCGTGTCTAAGTCGCACTGGCCATGTGACCACGGAAAGATTGTCTTCGAACAAACGCTGGCTCTATGGCTTGGAAACGGGGATGAGCACCGCCCCCTAGAGTCGAACACAACTGGACAAAAATTGTCAAGGGGAACCTTTACCTTTACCTTACTGTAAAGTGACTGAAATAATTCAACTCCCTGGATCCTTCTGGTTCTGTCCCTCACAGTAAAAACTAGAGAAGGCAAAGGAAGGAAGGAAACCTCCCCAGCACCCTGTTTGCTCCAAAATTGGTGGAAGTTTTAGATCCTTCACAACAGTGCTTCTCATTCAATAACAGTCGCCGAGGAGGATCACAAATTAACTACATTAATCTTCTACTGAAAAAGCATAGCAAGAGATTAACCAGTTCTATGTTCCACTGAAACATTTGCTTCAAGATCTGTTAATTACCATTTTAATCTATGCTCTAACTATAGATACTAAAAGAATTTCAAAACTTGTATTCAAATATGAAACAGGAGATTAATCAGAAACCAAAATAGAATGAGGCAATAATCATGAAATGCAAAAGCAGGAAATAAAACAGAATGAAGTGTTGTTGAAGGACATGGTCTGCATATGAGTCAGAAAAGAAGCAGGAGAAGCACAGTGAGGCCAATTTGTTTCCTGCAAAAACATGTTTAAACTAAACCAACAGATGACATGGATGTCACTAAATAATCAATACAGAAACCGGAGTGACGGGCAGCAAGAAGAGGGGAAATTCCAGGGCTCTGGATTCCTCTGGGTTTACTCCAAGTCAGCGGACACCCCAGGAGAAGGGGGGGCAAGTTTTCCACAGGAGAGTGAACTTGCTGCAAGTGGCGGCTTTGGAAACGCCGAATTTCTTTTGGAAGAGTTTCCCTTCCCACACGCAACTGTCTCGTGAAGTCGCCATGATGGTGAGTTAGCTACCCGGAGAGGGAGAGGTATGAAGATTTATTATCTGACTGCAGAAACAGAGATTAATGATCTGCTGCTAAGCTACAGCAAGTAAAAGATCAGATGTGTTCTTTTGGAAGCTGATAAGGAGGAAAATCTCAACTGGCATAACTTTGCTAGTGCCTGTATCATTGGAGTTTTTCTTATTGTGTCACAACTGATAGAACTTTGAAAACGAAACCAACTTTATTCTTTTTCTCTCTTAACCCTTCCTCCCAGAGAACTGGCTTTTCATAAATTCAGGACTTAAGAACTTTAAATAACTCTGCACAATTTAATTTATGTGACTCTGCACTGAGCTACAAGGTGGATTATAAATCAAATGACATCCTTGGCATGGTTGGAGCTACGATTAGCATGGATGGAGGGGGAGACTCATTATTGGAACCCACAATGGAGATTTATTTTAAGAGACTTCTTCAAGAATGCCAATTGGACATAGTCAATCATATCAAGGCTCAGCTCTTAGAAGTGAGGACAGAATTGAAGATGACAGATGACACTTCTTGGACTGCATGAAAAGACAGAGAATGAAGACAAACAGCTTAAACAAACCACGGAATTTAATGAACAACTACTATCATCAGAGAGAGAGAGACTGTTTTAATGCAGTATAAACAAACCATTGAACTTACTCAACAACTGCTGTCACCAGAGAGAGAGAGAGAGGAGGAAGACTGTTTTTCTCAAAAAGTTTGACAAGATGTTTAAAAAGGACGAAAGGGGAGATTGGAAAGAAGGGGGAAAGCATATTGAGACTGTTGTGACAGGAAAGAATGTAAAGGGGGAGAAATGGGCAAATTTGAGGGCAGACATTTACGATCAGAGATCGGACAGGTCTATGTTGCTCCAAAACCAAGACACTGACTATATTGGGATAAAATTAGTCAACCGGATAGAAAATGTCCTAAAGAGACATTATAGATAGCATTTCAAAACTGGCAAAAAATAAAAATAAATGAGGCAAGAGACTAATTGATAACACTGGAGCTGATAAGCAAAAATGAAAAGGGAGAAAGTTACTTGCTGAATAAATAACAGAAATCAATGGCTTGAGAGAGATATATTAACATATAAAGTAACATGACTAATATACTATAAGCAAATTTGGCCAGATATGAAATTTAATGCTAGACAAGCACCTGTAATTTATGAACTTTAGAAATGATGATGAATAATAATATTGGATGCTTTTGTTTGTGAGGCACGTATATTGAGATAGCAAATATGTGTGAATTATAATAGTGACTATGTTGACAAGATTAGACATATAATATCTTTCTGTCTATAAGAATGGAGATTTTTGATGAATGAACTGGTCTGTGTGGATTTTATTGGTGGATAAGTAAAGAGGAAATGAGAAATGTTTATGATGATATTTAGAAAGATGGAAATGCAGGTGAGAGAATTTATAACATTTATTATAAACATAGGATGTTAGACACTTAATTAGATATATAAAATAGGGATATGAAATATAACATGTGTAGATACACACGGATATACTATGATGTAGTATGGGAATAAGGCATAAGATATCCTGTAGTCAGAAATTATATAATAGATAAGGTGGTGTGGGAAATACCTCCCTGCTTATATGTTTTGTTGGTCTTATGTGTTCTTGATTGTCTTGTAGGTTTTTGTTTGTTCTGTAGGTATGTATGTCTCAAAAATAATAAAATGTAAAAAGAGAACAAACAGAAACCAAACAGATTGTTTAACTGGAACCGGAAGATGAAGAAACTAGTCTCTGCAAAAACAAGACCATGAGCACACTGCAGTACACACCATGAACTACATATATCAAAAAGCTGGGTAAGGCTGACAAAGAACAGTAAAACAATCATAATATCAACATACTGCCAAAATGTAATTTATACATTTGCATTACTATACTCAACTACCATTAACCAGAAGAACTATGAATGGACATATTATAAAGGATGAAAGTAAAAAAAAAGCCATCCCTGAAGCCAGTCAAGAAGTAAAACTTTAGTGGATGACTAATGAAGTTCAAAATTGCTAATGGCAGAAAAGAAGCAAAAGTAAAAAGGTGACAGAAATAGTCTCAGAATCCTGAACACAACTTTTCAGCAACTGTCAGAGTCAAAGAAAACTATCACAATAGTCATTTCAAAGAAATAAGAAATAAGAAAACAAAAAGGGAGAAAGCAATATTTTCCAGGTAAAAATTGCTCAGAATTCAAGAGAGAAATATGTTATTGGAGTAGGATAAAGTCAAGAGAAGATAGACACAATATACAGTATTCAAAAACAATACAGAAGTGATGTAAAAATGACACTGTCCTTCACAAAAGAATTCTTTGATGAATACCATGCAATTTTAGAAAGTGAGGGGAAGTAATATACAATTGGAATAAATGACTGAGAATAGATGCAAAACTGACTATCAAAATCCTAATATGAATATGCCAACAAAAAAGAGTGCAGTAGGTATTAGACAACTGCATTAATTCCTCATGCAAGCAGTGATACTCAAAACTTCCCAACAAAGACTTTTTACCATATAGAATGAGAAATGCCTGACATTCAAGCTGGAGTCAGAAAAAGAAGTAGCACTTGAGATAACACTGCACATATACATTGCCCACTGGATCATGCAGCTGAATTTCATGGGAAAACCAGCCTATGCTTTATAGACATCAATAAAGCCTTTAATTTTTGTGGATTGTGAAAAGCTACGGATTTTTCTAAAAGAAAAGGTGTGCCACAACATGTGCTTATCTTGAACAAGACAATTTAATATATATTTTGCACAAGAACCTACTGTTAATACAGAACATGGAAGAACAGACTGATTTCAAATTTGCAGAGGTTCCAGATGCAGATACATTTTATTTCCCTATCTGTTTAATTTCTGCATAGAACAGTGGTTCCCAACCTTTTGCACAAAAATGCATTTGCACAAAAATGCATTTTAATAGGGTAAAATAATCCCTTCTTTGAAAGTAGAAGTTTATTTTCCCCCTTAAAGAGCCTGTTTCTCTTACATACACAGTAACTTAAATATCTCATTCCAAAAAGGCCAAGGAAAAAAATTATTTAACAAGGGCTACAACACATAAGGTGACATGCAACACCCCCCAAAAACACATTGCAACCCCTTTGGGGAGTCATGACCCCCAGGTTGGGAAACACTGGTGTAGAATAATTCATATGGAAAGCTTTATTAGGTTCAAAAGAAAGAAGAGTGGTGGAAGACATCAATAATTTAAGATATGCAAATGATGCCATATTTTTGGCAGAAAACAGCAATGACTTGAAATATCTTCTGATGAAGTTGAAAGAAGAAAGGGTAAAAGAAGGATTACAATTGAACATTAAGGCAACAAAGTCATGTCCACAGAAGAACATCTTTAATCTTGACAATGAAAAAGTAGAAATTGTTAAGATTTTTTATACCTCAATTCAATCATTAGCTCAAATACAGAATGACCCCAACAAATCAGAAGACTGAGACTTGGAAGTATGTCAAGGATAGGTCCTTAACTGTTAAGGATGAGTTGCTGGAGATCAAAGTCAAGATTATGCAGTCTACTGTATTCCCAATTACTTCACATGCATGTGAAGATGGACACTTGAGGAAAAATAAATAAATAAATCAGTACAGGGAAAATGCAAATGGGTCCACTGTAGAGTTGCACTTGGGAAGTCTGGTTTCCCAGGCAAGTTCACTTCAGCCAATCACACAGGAGTCAGCAGAGAGACAGGAGAAAATCAATCTTATTTGCAGCTTTTCAACTATTTGAATAATCTCTTCCTTGCACCAAATGACTGTGTCTGCTTGGTTACTTCCTCCCTTCCCATTTCATTCCATTCTCTTTATTCTTTTACCTAACACTACATCAGTTAGGTGACCAAAGAAGGAGGGAAAAGCAAAGAATCAGAAAAGACAGATGTTTTCACTGTCACTCTTGACCCACAGTGATTTTACAAATTAGCAGCCTCCCAAAGTTCCTATCATTAAGAGGAAGCTGTCAAAATTGTTGTCTAGCGAAAATCAGTTTGCGAAGCAGGGACCAAACATTGTCCAGCGAAATTCCCCCATAGGAATCACTGTTTTGCGAATCGCTATAGTGATCGCAAAAAGTCAATGTCTAGCGAAAAAACTGTCATGTGGGGTAACTGTCTAGCGAGGCACCACTGTATCTGAAGAAAGTGTGAATCTGACATTCTTAGCAATGCCATATTGGAAGATAAAAGGCACAAATCTTCAGACAAAATCGTGGCTCCAACTTTTCCTGGTTCTGCTATGCAAACTAATATGGACTCCTCTGGAATGTATATGAGCATTTTTACGTACTTAAAACTGCAATAACTCACATGCTTGATTAGACTATGTAATAAAAATTACACATTGAACACATCATGGCCACAATTGTGCAGCAATATAGATTTGAGGTAAGGAAGTTCAAAGACCCTTATAACTACTACAGAAAATATTCCAAATCAATTATATAAAGTCCAGAACCGCTCCGTTCATCATTGGCATACACATTTAACAAGGATGGGAGTCACTTACACCCACTCTGGGAGACTTCCTTGCACCAATTATGGCATAGAGATTTACAAGGATCCCCATACTGATTCTGGACCCAAGATTTTATTTGTTGGATGGTTTGACAGCAACCCCTGGTAAAAAACATTCAAATGAACATGGACTTGTTTGGACCATAATTGTTTCACCAACTTTTACCAAGACTTATCTTTAATAGTCCCATGACTGGCACGACATCAAAGCTTTAAGGTTTTCCTCCCCCTGCCTCACCCCACCAGCTGCTTCACTTCTGCCAGCGAGGCAGCTGTTAAAAACATGCAACTTCCGCCCGCAAAGAGGGGTGGAGTGGAAGGGAACCCTTCGAGAGCCGCTCCGTTGAAAAGATCTGGCCGGAGCTGAGTTTTCATGGGATCACTTAGCCGAAGCGGCCCAGAACCACGCCAAGAAACCTTGAAATGATCCAAGAGAAAGGGTCGCCCCTTCCCGAGGAGACCCGTGCAGAAGCCTAGCGGCCTCGCCTCGCCCGGTGGGCCGGGCCTATTGGGAAGATCACACTTAGACGGGTACGGAAGCCAAGCAGAGAGGTTCCCTCCCGACGTTCAGGTCTGCACGTTTTCTACTCTCCCTGGTTCTTATACCCAACGGCGGTTCACAGGCCTCCCCGGACACGGTTGCTGGCCGAGGGCGGCTCCAGGCTTGTGGGAGGGGAGCCACCTCCAACTCCTGGGCCCGGAGGGCCACCAGAGAGGAGCCTCGGCCCCTCCAAAGAAGCCCCAACCACACTCACTGGCGGGCAGGCTTTCTCCTCTCCGCCGGCCTGGAGGCGAGCCTTTGTGCCGCTTCCCCTCTTCGGCGCCTCCTCACACTTTCGCTTCTCCTCCGAACGGGCGCCGTCACCACCAGGCAGGCAGCCCGCCTCTCACTCACGCGGCTCCCTCACTGGCTGCTCGCGGCGGTGACGTCACGCTTAAAAAAAACTACACGCAACCTATCCACCCGCCCACCCCTTTCCTTCCTCTCCCGCTTCCGCCTTGGAGCGGAACCAGCGGCGAAGAGCCTTTCGCCCTCTCAAATGCTTCTGGACTACAACTCCCACAATTCCTTACCATTAGCTGTGCCGGGCGGAGCGGATAGGAACCATAGGCCGAAGAATAAGTCCCCCACCCTTGTGAGAAATCCGGATCGTTTGTCCGATATGGGGATTGTAATGGAGGAAAGCTGAAATTTAAATAACTGTGTTCGTTTAAAAATGCCACAGTAGTTTGGTGTTGCAGTACAGGAACGAGAAAATAATATTCAATGGATTCTCGAAAGCTTTCACGGCCGGGATCCGATGGTGGTTGTGGGTTTTTTGGGCTGTCTGGCCGTGTTCTTGAGGTCTTTCTTCCTAATGTGTCGCCCGTCTCTGTGGCCGGCATCTTCAGAGGACAGGAGCCAGAACTCTTGTGTTCTGTCCGTTTATATTTGTAACACATTTGTTATGGCGCACATTATTATTGCTTTTATTGCAACGAACAAGCATTTTCTGGTAGGCTTCTGGATGGGTCTTCTCTGCTGCTCCAAACTTTCAAAAAAAACCCATCATGCCTTACTGTCGTTGGTGCTAGTCAGGAATGAAGGGAGTGGTAGTAAAAGAAAATTAAAGGGCGCGACAGCGGGGAAGGCTGCCTAGGAAAGGAAAATTAAAGAGACCCCAAACTCGGAAAGGTCTCATTCCTTTCCTCTCTTTGGTGCTTGCTTACTTCCCCGTCCTCTTTCCCAATGACGGTCGGGGAGATCTGTAGATACAAGAAAATGAAAGATGCCAGGCTTGTTGCCCCTTTGTGATTAGAAACAATGTATAACCATCCGAACGAAAATATCTGGTAAGAGGTTGCGTTACTTTCTGATCCATATACAGTTTTGCATGCAACGTGTGATTAAGTTTTTATTTAACTTTTAAATAACAGAAAGATCTCCTTGCCAGTAGTTCCCCACAATCCCTGGTTGTAAAGGGAGAGAAACCGCGTCCGCCAAAGTCAGTTTGGGTTTCCGTCCTATAAAGCCATTTGAGAGTAAGCCTCATTTGAAGTTGATAATATTTACGTTCAAGCAAACGTATAGCTTGTGCGTAAATATCTTTCAGACCTTAAAAAAAATCCAGTGTCCTAAAAGGGAAAAATGGAAGGGCGAAGTTCGGAGTTCTCGGAACACAGAGATACTCTGTGAGAGATGGCAAACTTCCGGTTGGTTATTACGGTGATTCTTGTGGTACCTTAAAAACAACGCCAGCTGTACAGTTTGTGGCACGAACTTTCGTGGGTTGTTAAACGTTGAACGGTAGCTCCGATTCCCTCGGGGCTATTCTGCCCCCCCACCCCGAGTATGGCTGTGGAAAATCACCTTCTCCCGTTTGCGTGGGAGAGCGGGAACGCCTTCGAAAACCGGACCGGAAGTTTCGAACCAGTTAAAAGTTCAAGCATCTCGAATAATCTGGATCGTTGAAAGCGCACCTCCGGCCCGGATCCAAGGTGGAGGTTTTCATGAGATGCAGCTAAAAGCAGCCGGCGTGGGCACCGGAAAATCCAGAGGAGCTGGAAGGTGCGTGCGCTCGACCTGGGAGATGGTAGGGATGTGGGTGGTAGAGCTAGTTGGTGCGTGCGCTCGACCTGGGAGATGGTAGAGATGTGGGTGGTAGAGATAGATAGATAGATAGATAGATAGATAGATAGATAGATAGATAGATAGATAGATATCGCCGTCTCCTTCAACTAGCTCTACGAGCCATATTTGTATTCGAGATGGGAAAAGAATCCAAAACTGCCACTGAGAGTGGCTCATTGGCAGTATTTCTTCTGGAAGCCTGAGGCCTCCGCTGTGGATGAGTTGGGGGGTGGGAAATCGCAGCTTGCCATTTCTCTGGAGAGGAGGACGCAAAGGTTTTAAATGAAGGGACGGGTAGCAAATTGCAACTGGAGATGAGCTGAATATTTGTGTTGGGTGCCAAGTCCGGCTTAACGATGGCCTGAGCTAAGAAAGTTGGGAGGTGGAAGTATTTTTGATTGATTTTTAATTTAGAGGGCTGTGGCCTGATTGGGCAGTAATCATAAAGATGGCTTTCCCTCAATTAGATTTTATTTATCATATTATTTATTCTTGATGACAATAAGGAGAATGGTGCTTTACTTTAACAACGTCTGTAAATACTGAACTATGTAAGTTCTGTGTATGATGTGTAAAAGGTACCCATTCACTCTGGTTGTCCACAGAATGCTTCTGCAGTTCTACGTAACAAAGCAAATCAAAGCTCAGAATTGTGACACCTTAAAGAATATCATACTTATTTCTGTGTGAGCTTTCTTGGATTATGACCCACTTCCTCAGACACATGGAATAAAAGTTAACTACAGGCTAATATGCAAGGATACATTGTAGCAGAGCCCAGTATGGTACAGTGTAGTGAAATAAGTATGTTGGACAAAAACTCAGAAGACCATTCAAATTTCTGCTTGACCCTGGAAACTCGCTGGAAAGGGGGTTGGCCTGACTACTCTTTGAGCACTTTTCATACCTTGAAAATTGAAACTGAGTATTATATGTTTGAAGCAACATAATAACAGATAATTGGGTGTGGGGACCCAGTGAAGATGCAAAAAGGTACAGAACATGAAATGTCAAAGTAATAACTGGTGTTATTAATACAAGTAATGAGTTCAGAGAATGCTGGTTACACAAAAATTCTAGGCACTGCTAAGAGTGATTACATGTCTGCAAGGTAAGCAACGTCTGGTCTTTCAAACACAAAATAATGAACCAGTCAAAATCTCCTTCAAACATAGGCAGGCAACTAGTTTTCTGTCACTAGGATGGGATGTAGGAAAATGATTTCATCTGTATTTGGGTTGTGGGAGTACTGATAAGTGTTGATTTTAAATGTGAATCTCAAACAAGAAAAAAATACATCTACAAAATAAAAGAGAAGAGCATAGTTTCAATGAAGACATTTTTCTGTAAAAATGAAATAACAAGTGGCTGTCCTGCCCATATATGATATGGGCATATCATATATATCATACTGCGTATAAATCCAGCCAAGTTATTTTGACTCGGAAAGAATAAAATCTCATAAGCTCCTTTACCCCACCCTGCCAGTAAAATATTTACCTTCTGCCATAACAAGTTAACTACCAGTTCACCTCCCTTTCGTGATACCCAGTATCTTCTGCCTGTGTTGGACATCTCACTCTTCTCAATGGAATCACTGACTCTGAAACTAGGACTTGCCCCATGGCTCAGTTCCAGACTACGTTTTAGCACTTAGTGGGAAGAATCATTTCCTGCTTGCAAACCCAGTTCCTTTAAGTAATGGGTTTTGTTATGTGGAATTAAAGAAAAAGACCATGCATGTCAGAGGTTAACTAACCTAGTTTTAAACCCTTGTACGTCAAAATTAAGGACACTCCATTAGAATTACTCTTGTGGAAGTATGATAACTGTTGTACAGACCATTGTTGGCTGTCATTGAATCTAATTATATTGTATGTAGAGAAAAAATATGTATGTTGTTGACCAACAAGGTTTCTTCCAGAAGTACTTTATATTTGGCATTTGCAAAAAATTACCTAAGCAGCCATAGGAAACAGTCCTCAAGATTAGTTCAGAAAGTTGTTTGTTGTTTTAACAGAAAGTCCAATCAGTTCATAAGGAATGTTGTTGTGTACTGTCAAGTTGACTTACGGAAATGCTAACAGAGTTTTTTTTTTTAAGATATGTGAAATGATCAAGGTGAGGCTTACCCTCCAGTGAATTTCCATGGCTGAGTACAAATTAGAACTCAAGTCTCCTGAATCTCCAGGTCTGAAGCTCTATCCACTACAATACAATGACTGAAATCCTGTTGTGCAGTTCCGTGTGTGTAACGATGATGACAGCAGCAGCAGTAACCAATCATGTTGTATTGTGTAGGAAGCATTTGTACCCCAAAATTGCCTTCAGTCGGCGGTGAATTGGTGGTCCTGGTGACATTATCTCCACTGTACATGTAGAGATGACCAACAGGATTTTAGCCCTAGTTCAAGAATTAAATGGTTTAATGGTCACCAAATGGTCAATGAATTCTGTCTTTAAAAATGCTAAATCATTTGCAATTAAACACTGCTGTCTGAAATGAGTAAACTACTTGAATTTGTTACCAGTGCTGTGTTGAATGAAGCTAGGAACAAGCTAATTTTCCATATGTCTGATGAAATGTTCTTCTGTGACATGAAATCCTTACATGAAACAAAAAAGACCAAATATTGGTCTGTTAAAAGTGGGGGAGGTACATAGCCTAATTTGTTGTTCTTCAATACTCATTTATAAATTTTTCTCTGTATAACACGTTTTTCCTTCCTTAATTTTGGGGAACAGTTAATTGAAAATAGTGCCTTGTAAATCTTGTTGGTGCCTTAGAAACCTAAGGCAATGTAAAATAAATATTTTTCTCTTTATCTTCCAAGATAAATTGAAGAGATCAACATGGTTGAAAATTCACCAGCCCCATTGCCTGAAAGAGCCATATATGGCTTTGTTCTTTACTTAGGTTCCCAGTTTCTTTTCAGTGAGTATTTCCATTTAATACTGGTTATGCAAATTCTGTGATGTATACCACATGCAAACTTTGGAGGGCTACTTTTTAAAATGAATTAACTATCATTACAGTTCCAGTGCCCCAGGATCAAGGTGAGGCTTCTAAATTATAATATAGTCCCATCTTTTAACAAGTAACTCAACTTTGCCACAGTTCAAAAGTAACTAAACAGAGTATTTTTTTGTTTTTCAAAGTAAATTAGAATGCTACAAGCTGCTGGCCTGTGGTATGAAACACACATATGTAACAGGTTACACACACACTGTTAAGTATAAAAATAACTAAAACAGTGACAGTTACATTGCCAAACATGTTATTTCTTATGTGTGCAAGATAGTTCGTGCTGCTTCAATGTTTCATTTTATTGAGGCTTCTTATCAATATTACTCCATTCAATAAATAAGTACTAACAACTTTTCAAAGTTAGATGGTTTACACGAAGTAAGGGGTGAGAGGAACATGCCAGTTTTATTGAAACCATGTGGCTAGGCCAACTAGGTTTCTTGGGTCATGATCTGCAAGGGCTGCTATACTGTATCTCTTTCAAGACACATGCATTCCCAAGACAGCTCCACTGATTTCAGTGGAGTGTACTCTCAATTTAATATGGATACATTTGCATGGAAATAAATCCCACCTCAGAAAGATTTGTTCCATGGCAAATATAGATAAAACCTACATATGCAGTTTGCACATAGCCTGAATGTTGGGAAGACCTGCCCCTTGAATCTTTTTATGTGCTGCACTTTGCCCTCATTTCAAAGCATTCAACCAGGTTGCGGCACTTGTTAGAAAGGGAAATCCTCCAGGCTTGTGTTACATTTTATTTATTTGACTTCTAGCACTGAAGAGATAAACTCATAGGAGATATCCGACAGACTTTCCCCTTCTGTCTACAAGAATCTGATCATGTTCTCTTTACTTGGAAATAAATCCCACTGAGTTTCAACATGTTTACTTTATGGAGGATGAAGTCATCATTGTCATCTCAGAACTACAGAGCTGGATGGGACCCTATGCATATAAATTATAGTCTAAAAGTTAGGGGGAAGTTAAAGTTAGCTGCCTTCTAGCGTGGCAGCTCAATGGTCATACATTTACGATCACGAAATCAGGAACTCTAGTCCACATAATGGACAGTGTTGTTCCTATTTGGATATGTGAGGAAGGAAATAATTATGCATAATAATAGCTACATGGGGAAAATGCACAAATTTAATTATTTCAGGACATATATGATAACCTTTGAATACCAGATTTTTCTGGAACATATTGAAATAATCTAGCTTTTTGGGTGGTTATGTTAAAATCATGGTTTCCTATTCCCTACTTCAAATATTGTAACTCCGGGTCGGTTCTGCCAGGGGCGCTTCCGTTGACAACGCGGGAAAAAGGACAGGAGGCTGCTCTTCTTTTCGAACAGAATCAGTTTTATTAGTGAACAAACTCAATTCAGCCAGCTCGAACGGGTCCATTAAACTTAACTCTGGTAACAACTTATAACTCCGAACTCTTGTGGTTAGTTCTTTGTCCTTCCTTCTCACAGGGGGGCTGGCCCAAATCGCTCCCGGTCGGTCATGGGGTGAATCAGTGTGGTCTATACTGTGCAAACTGTCCCACAACATGCGTGTCTCGCCCAGTCTCCCTCCCGCTGACTCTGGAGTAAAGAGGGACTGGGATGGATCACCCGCCTCCCCCCACGCTGATTGTGTGGGTAAACTACCACAGTCCATTCCAGGGGGTCTACCTCTTGACCACAGACGACGAACTCTGGGGTCCCGGCAACAATCCTCCATCAACTTGTAAATTTGGGAACTCTTTAAGTAGCTTCAGAAAACTCTCATGGCCCATGTTCCATTCTGTCTGAGCAGACCTGTCTTTCTTGTCTGCTGGTTCACTCTTAACCACTCTAAAGCTTCCTGCCTTTTCCGCCTCATTTATATCCTCCCATACAATCAAGTCTAGCTCCTCCCCTCTCTCGTCAGCCAGACACACTTCCCTATGTTGCTGCACCTCTCTGTCATCTGGGTCCACCTCCACTAATATCCCTTCTACACATTCTGTGCCTCCTTCTGCTCCTTTGATAGAGGAGGACGGCTCACTCCCTTTCTCTCCTTCACAAATATCATTGGGTATTATTGTATTATCTTTTAAATTGCCCCTTCATAGGTAAAGGTAAAGGTTCCCCTTGACGATTTGTCCAGCCATGTCTGACTCTAGGGGGTGGTGCTCATCCCTGTTTCCAAGCCATAGAGCTGGCATTTGTCCGTAGACAATTTCCGTGGTCACGTGCCCAGCGTGACTAGACACAGAACGCCATTACCTTCCCACCGTGATGGTACCTATTTATCTACTCACATTTTCACATGCTTTCGAACTGCTAGGTTGACAGGAGCTGAGACAAGCGACGGGAGCTCAATCCGTCATGTGGATTCGATCTTACGACTGCTGGTCTTCCAACCTTGCAGCACAGAGGCTTCTGCAGTTTAACCTGCAGCGCCACCACATCCCTCTCACACCACCACGACCCTTCATAACAGGAAACTAAATTCAGTTAGTACCAACTAGAATAGACACATCAAATCATTTTCCAAAACGGTGAGTCAACATTTATGCAGACCCCACTGATTCAATGAGTCTACTTGAATTGAGACTGCCAGTTGGCTTAAGACAAAGATGATGCTTGGTGATGTCTACCATTAAGAAAGTCTGAAAAACATTTTCTTGAATGGATTATTCTTAATTTATCTGCTGAATTCCAATGTATGAAAAACAATGGTGATTTTTGAGCAGGGTCAGATTTCCTGAGTACAGCATAAATTCAGCAGTACAGTTTTCAAGATAGTCTTCCATCCAACTATTATACAGGCCCAGCTTCACATATTTTTCAGACTGGACATACAATTTCATCTATTGATAGGAGGAATAACCCTCATAATGCCAACCAGAAAAAAAATCAAGCTTGGTCCTTTTCATTTAAAATTTATCCTATTTGCCATTGTACTTAACATTTCTTCTTTCTTGTTTTTATATATATGCAGTCCTGTACCTTGTGTGGGCCTATATACCAGAATCCTGGCTATTTTCACTGGGGTTGACATACTGGCCTCAAAAGTAGGTTTGGACTATTCTTCCATTAAATGTATTTTATGTTGCTAAAACTAACCAATTGTGCAGAGGATCAGCATGCAAATTTTACATTATTGCCTTACTTAGAAAGAACCCTGGTGGCTCAGACCTAAGGATCCCAGGGACATAACAGCACATGGCTGAATCTGGTCATCTGCCTCAGTATAGCAAAGAAACCAAGGTTCCATTTAGCAATTATTATGCTTATTAGCTGCAGATGCACTTGTTCTCCATATGTCTTTCAAGATTCTAAATCAAGGTAGACAAGTCATGGTTCTACAGATATTTCTTAGGCTGCAACTCATTAACCCTAGTCACTGTAGTCTAACATTTGGAAAACCTTCAGTTACCTTCCCTTAATTCAACCCTTTTTCAAACCCTTCTGAGCAGGTGGCCATCACCCAGTCCGATTACAGTGAACTCCTCTGTCTAAAACAGTACTTCCTTTGGTCCATTCTGAATCTAGAATGTCAATTTAATTGTTAATTAAATTTTAATTTAATAAAAATTTGGTTTTATGAGAAAAAGAGAGAAGAAATGTCTGTTTTCACTTTTGCTAATCTGTTCTTAATTTATACATTTCTTTCATGTCCCCTGACACCTTTACAGTGTGTTTCCTAAATTAAATGGTCTCAAGCATTTTAGTCTTCCATCATAAAGATGGATTATTCTGCTTGCTGCCTTCTTTATCTTCTTCTGGTCCTGTGACATTTTTTCCTGAGTTGGGAATTTTCCTTGAAATAATATTTGCTATGTATTTCTACGTGTATACAACTCCACTTACAGTATTTCTTATTTCACTTCACAGATTCTGGGCTGTTGCTTTGCCTGTGTATCTTTTAGTAAGTATAGGAATAGGCTATGTGCTTCTCTTCGGTATTAACATGATCAGTACTGCTCCATTAAATTCTACACAAACCATTACAGGTAAGGATGTTGACTCAGGTTTGCAAACAATATACCTGCAATATGATTTTTACCGGCTTGTAATACTTGGCCAGACTCATAACTGGAGTGTAGTCATTTATGAGTGTTACATTGATTTCCTATATTTGTACAGTTCATCAAACTTTTCTTCTGTAATTAACAAAAGAATGACTCAGCACCTTTCCATCATGTGAAAGCCTGGGAAATATAACGCCCAATTGAGGAGCATTTTCCTGTGCCATGGAAATTAGTAACCTCTATTAAAGCAAATCCAGATGTCTGGGAGACACACAAGGCCATTTGTGTATTAGTCCCAGAGTATTTGGAAACAAATTCAGACCCAAGCAACAACGAATCATAGATGTTTATAAAGACATATCTATGAGTATACTTTCTTAGCCTCTAGAGTCCAGTGTGGGTTTAGTCAGATTCATGTTATATTTGTATAACATGAATCTGTTTAGTGCTAATTGGATCTTGCTTGGCAGGCCACACATCCTAGCTGGTAGGAGATGAGTGAAAGTACAGTTTGTTGCTGGTGGACTTGGATGAGCATTGTGTGGTCGCACAGGAATGTGCTGTTTTCTTCCAACCCCACCACTGCATGCTGTAGTGGCAGCGTGTGGATACTAGGTAATACTAAGGAACTGGAATCTTAGCAGGGAAAGGAGAGACATTTTCAGATGGTCATATGGTTGGTTCACTGTGGTTGTGAAGCAGACGGCAGGGTTGTGCTTTCTGGTTCTGAGCTGGTATTCCTACTAGTTTAATTGACTCTAAAGGTAAGAACATATAGAGAAGCATCCAGAATTAGGCATGTTTAACTGAGCCAGCAGAAGCAAGCTTCCCTCTCCTTTCTTCCCCACAACAGCCCTTCACACTTTAACCCCCCCCCCACAAAAATACTACAAGGAAGTTTGGAGACCCTGCTGAGCAGTCTGGGGTAAAGTGTTGGGTGAGCACAGATACTCAGAATTTTTGCAGAAGCACTTTTTATCAACAGGGCTTCCACCCAGGGGATCCCCATCCTCCATTCAGGACCCCAACCACCTAGGTTCTATTTTTGTGAAACTGTCACAGTGATCTTTGTCAGTCAGCTGACAAAGGCAGGAAGACCACTTCCATCAGTTGCACACATGTAAACCTAGATACAAACTACATAAGATATACATAATAATGCCAAGGTTCACTTTCCTTGGGCATAGAGTTTGTTTGCAGTACTGAAATTAATATAATGAGGCAAGTTATAGTCCCATATTTAGCTGCCTTATCTTCCGCTTCTTTTAACCTCTCCATCGCAGCTTATATCTTTACCATTAAAATATGTTTCTTTATTGGTTCAGTTTATACAGCACGTACTGCCATGTAGGATAGTCCTTGTTATCAGTATTGTTCTAATTATCTACGTTTGTCATAAACTACATCCACTAACAAATACATGTTGTTCAGAATTGGTAAGGACATGCTTTCCACTATATTAAGAGCGTCTATATTCCACAGACAGACTTTTTTCCAAAGTTGTGCATCTTATATAGAATGAAAAAAATGGCATGTTCTTAGGCCTATCCTACTTGCTTAAAGTGGGAGTTTTTTGAATGCATTAACAATCTTATAACCTGCCTTCCCCAATTTTTCAAAGTAGTTCAGAATATGAATTTAAAGCAGCTTCATACATACAAATACAAAAAATATGGCAATTCAAACCTAAAATGTCAAGGCCAAGGTAGTATTTCATTTGTTTTATTGTGTATGGCCCCTAAATTCAGTAGATCTTCCAAAGTGGCTTAGAAAACGAGATGGAATGCATAAATACAATTTTAAAAGACGGAAACTTAAAAGATGAACATATTAAACTACATTTTGAAGCCTTGAGAATAAAAACATCTGTGCCTGACAGCTAAAGGAGAACAAGCCTATACCAGGGAGATGACCCTGGGTAGAGAAGAGAATTATACAACTGGGGTGCGGCGAAAGACTTTCTCTCTAGTTGGCATGCTTCTCTCCTTCCTTTGAAAATATCATTCCATGTAGAAGTGATCATGTCAGAATGGCAAATATCTACTAGTAGTCCTAGTCTCTTTTTTTAAATGGTATTGACCCTATTCAGGTATTCAAAAAAGGCTTTAGTAGAAAGTGTGAGCAGGGAGAGTTCTAGCTCCATTTTCTGCCTTTCACTATTTCTGTGTGAAGGAGGACAATTTGAAGATGGATCCCTGTAGCAGAAGCTTCCTCTTAAGATACACCCTCTGACTATAGATACAGACAAGATGACAGGATTCCATGCTTTGGAATGCCTGAATAGATCTTGCAAAACTCACAAAAAGATTCAATCTCTTGCTTTTTCTGAATTTATGGATAAGATGTTTTGAGAATTGCATGATCAATCTGTTTTAATTTTAATAGGTGAGACATAATATTTGGCTTTAACATGTAAGGAATTCAGAATTTATATGCTGATTTATTAAAAGAGCTATATTTATATTTCTCGATATAAAACTAGATTCTCATGGAAAAAATTACCTTAAATAACCTACAGAGTGTATGTTGTCTTACTGCTTTTCCCTTCCATTTTCAACAGACCACTATGCAAAAAATCAGAAACAGAAGAAACCAGAGGAAGAGGCTGTTCCTGCATTGAGAGACATTCCTATCAGTGAAGTAAACAAAATGTTTTTCCTGAATAGCACAAAGGATTATCATAGAAACTGATGGAAGAAAGCACATATCTCTAAAATACATTAATATATGGGACAGGGCTCTATATTCTTGAATTTGAAACTGTCACAATAAAGTGCTAAAACCCTTGACTTCAGTCAGATTACTATGACTAATCATGATATTTGTTAGTTACACCCTATCTGTTGGATTCCAAATGGTTCATATCTCTATATATTGGGGGTAATATTCTGCCAAGGGGAGCCTGCTGTACTTCTGTAGTTCTCCTGTGTGATTATGAATCCTGACAATGAGATGAAATAACCAATTAGGGCTTCTTCTTTTTGTATACATGGAGGCAGGATATGCAGAATAAACTGAGGATTAATGGTATCTAGTCAAATGCACTATCCAGTCTTTGAAAGATGTGGTAAATCACTTCAAATAAAACTATTGGAATGACAACATGGACAGGTTTTAATTTGTTCATTCCTAAACTTCTATGTGTACTTTGTCATTATATGCTGTCAAGTTGCTTCCAATTTATGGCAACCCTGTTAGGACTTTGAGGTATTTGAGATGGTCACGGAGTTGTTTATTGCTTCCATCCCCTGATTCGTCTCCATAGCTGTCAAGTGATTTGAACTCAGATCTCCCAAATATTTATTTATTCATTTATTTATTCATTTATTCATTTATTCGATTCATATCCTACCTCTGTTTCATGGGAAACAAATACATAAAGGAAAAAGTTTATCTTTTCAAGATATTACTCTTTGCAGAACCAACACTGCATACTCATTACAGCTGAAACAAGATCCTAATCCTGATCTGGCTTAGTTACATTGAAATTTATTTCCAAATAACCATGCTTATGCATGCTCTTCCACATCAGTCTTATTTCAATAAATCTTATAATTTAGTATTAAGTACTTCTAAGTGATTATTAATATCAGTACATTTATCACTTATTAGTCATCTTTTATATGCTTTCTGATTTTATACACAAACTTTCCTAAACCCGGGTTCAATTACCATCTGTAATTTATACCTAACTATGGCATGCTGCAATGACTAAATATGTGTGCACTTCCAGTGGAAAAACATTTGGGGCATTACATGAGGGCTCCACTGCTATTTATCATAATTATGGGCAGTTTGTGGCCTGGAAGGGGAGGATGCACCATGCCCCACCATTTTGGTAGACAATGCCATTGCCTTCCCCCAACTTGGATCATGGGTTATACTGTATTGTTATTTGAAAGTTGCTTTACAGCACAATCCTCTTCAGGTTCACTTAGAAATGTCACATCTAATTCAGTAAGCTTTGCTCCTTGGTAACTGGATATAGGATGGCAGCCTTAAAATCATATTAGCCAATATCATGGCCAATGGAAGTTGAATCACCAGCTGCAGCAGACTGCTTCTAATGAATTGCCCCTTTCTCTTAATCTTTTTCCCCCCTGCTATTTTCCCCCATTAAAATTTGGGGGAAAATACAATGTTTTATATATTCCAAAATCAAAAAAGGAACTCTTATTTAGTGGCAATATGCTGAGGCCAGCAGTGTCACTCTCATTAAACAGGCAATAGAATCTGACCATTTTAATTTATCTAATGGCGTTGAGGGAGAGCATGAGCAATGATGTCCTGCCCAGACTCTATTAAGTACAGTATTTAAAATAAGATGACATCAAGCATACATTCGCAAAAGGTGACTTGGCTGAAAGTAGATCTATTTTTCCTTCTGAGCAGCTGAGTCATAAGAATGTGCATTAATAGCCTTTGATTTAAAATGGTTTTTGCTTCTAAAGTCACCTGATGTTTTCTACATCAGGAAACCAGCTTGGTGCACTCTAATTACAGCCTTTGATAACTGAAAAATCAGCAAAAGCTTGGGAGGGACATTCATCTACATAAAGGATTTAAGAAACAAAAATACCGTAATGAAACAAACTCATATGTGTCCATTTGGAGTCTACCTTATGGCTGACATTCTAAGTTACCACTTCATTACATTACTTCAACAGTTCTTAACCACAGTACACAGAGCTATCTTGTGTGTGTGTGTGTGTGTGTGTGTGTGTGTGTATACACACAAAATACACACACACACACACACATATATATATACACACACACTGTATATATAATATATATATATAATGAATATGTGTGTATACTCTCTCTCTCTCTCTCTCACACACACACACACACACACACACACACAGAGAGGGAGGGAGGGAGGGAGAGGGAAAAACAGCACGGGGAAAGGATTAACCCTCCTTCTCCAGCACTGCAATCACAAACATTTCCTTTGCTATTAATTGATTGGGAGTTCCTATTCTGATTGTAGCTTTTCAAAATATAAATATAATTTATTGAACTCTCAGGAGTTCAAAAATAAGATGTAATGCTTCACCTTGCCCAGTTTTTCCAATCAACTGACTGTTCCTCTCAATTTCAAATTGGCAATTTACAGTTCATGAGAGGCTCAGATTAGAATTTATTGGCCAATTTCTGTCACAAAATCATTCCAAAATTGTTTCATTGTAAGCAGGGACATACTGATGAAAGTACATAAATACCTCTTATAGCATTGTAATACTATCAGGGATTATAGACAGGCTATTTCCAAGCAAATCCACCTTGCTCTCAAGACTAACATCCCACACAGACACAGATGACAAACTGTCAGGAATACCATTCAAAACAAGGATGAGGGCCACAGCTATTTCACCTTTGACGATGAAACCTACCTCCAAATCAATGGAACTGCTATGGGCAACTTGCATAGCTCTACAATATGTGAATATTCATGGCTGACCTAGAACAACTCTTTCTTAACTTTTGTACCCCAAACTGACTCCTCTATTTGAGTTACACTTATGTCATTTTTTTAAAATCTGAACTCATGGAAAGAGCCTGAGAGAAATTCCACCAGGACTTCCTTTGATCCAAACATCAACCTCAGCCTCCGCCAATTTAAACAGTTTACAGGTGTATTTTCTAGACACCATTGTGAAGCTACAATGTGGACATCTTAGCACCATTCTGTATTGAAACCCCACTGATCAATATACTGTACCTACGTGCATGGCTCCAAATTCCATTCTGAACATATTATAAAATCTATCATTTAGAGTCAAGCCTTCAGATATAATCATATCTGCTCTGACCAACAAGATAACAGCACCAAACTCAAGTATCTAAAAAATCATCCAAATATGGTTAAGGAGCAAATGAATCTAGCAAAATGGATACCCAGAAGCAACCTAATGCAAGACAGACTCAGAAAACAACTGAAACTCACTAGCTGTCACTTCCAGCCAACAACTGAGACCACTCTCACAGATCATAAATCATCTCCAACTCATCCTTGACAAGAATACGCCACTCTCCCAAGCCCTCAATGGCAGGCTTAAAGATAACCCTCCCAATCTCAACCGACTATTGACACCCAACAGACTACGCGATAGTGATACAAAGGTGCACTCAACCCTGCTACAAACTCAGATGTCACCTCTATCCTCACATTTACTCTAGCAACAAGATTACAGGACCCAACAATGTCACACACAGCATCAAGGGCACTTTTGCTGCTCTGCCATTGTGATCTATGCCACCTTTCCCCAACAATGCCCCTCTGCACACTACATAGGACAAACAGGACGATCTCTGCACAAAAGAATTCATGGACATGAATTGGGCATCAGGAATGGCAGTACACTGAAATCTGTTTCAAATCTTTTCAATCTACCAGGAAATTTTTCATGGGATTTGAAAGTTGGCATTCTGGAGAAAAAAAATTACAGCATAAGGATACAGAGAGACACATCTGAGACAAAATATATATACATGTGCTTAATACAATCTCAATGAATTAAATATTAGTGAAGATTCCTTAAGCCATTACCAAATGTAAGCTTCTACAATATGTTGTTACCTGCTATTATTTAAGCCATTACCAAATGTAAGCTTCTACAATGATTATGTTGTTACCTGCTGTTATTTTCCTACACCAGTTTTCTTCCCAACTTAACCACAACCACCTTTACAGAACAAGCTTCAAAGGTAAAGTCAGGGATTCTTAACTCATTAAGTGGAGGATTTCTATGACATTTCACATTTTCTCTGCAACCTACATTTGAACACATAAGGAAATTCAAACATGTTTATGAGTAATCTGATCTTTCTCACCAGATCATATGTTCCAACCCATCCAAAGGCTGTAGAAAAACATAGGTTGTAGAAAAAAATACGACATGTCATGGAAATCGTCCCCCTACTTATTACCATATACAGTGGTGCCTCGCATTACGATTGCCCCACATTACGACGAAACCACATTACGACGATCTTTTTGCGATCACAATTGCAATTGCAAAATGATGGTCTGAATGGGGTTTTTTTGCTTTGCGATGATCAGTTCCCTGCTTCAGGAACCGATTCTTCGCAAAACGACGATTTTCCTCCAGCTTATCGGCAGTTTCAAAATGGCTGCCGGGTAAATAAAATGGCTCCCCGCTGTGTTTAGGAACAGATTCTTCGCAAGACAGCCAGCGAAAATGGCCGCCGTATGAAGGATCTTCACTGGACGGTGAGTTTCCAGCCCATTGGAATGCATTGAATTCAATGCGTTTCAATGGGCTTTTTATTTTCGCATTGCGACACTTTCGTTCTACAGCGATTTCACTGGAACGAATTAATGTCATAATGCGAGGCACCACTGTAGTGTTTCTGCTGTTGTTATCTATAGCCTGGGGTTTTGAACAATGCTTCAAAGGAAAAGAACAGAACATCAACCATGGGTCTTAAGTCATTAATAGCTGTGAAATTCCACATTTGACTCACACAATTTGCAACTTGTGTCTACTAACCCTCTACTCTTTATTTTGGGGGCATGTATAAACCTCTGCCATGTCTCACTCTTATGACTGAGGAAGTGGACTTATACCATAAAACCTTACATTAACTACAGCAGTTAGTCTTTAAGGTGCCACAAATGTTTTTATCTTTTTTGTTTTTGCTTTGCTTTGCTTCTTGTCTGCTATGCTTGCAGAGACTGACACAGCTGCCATTTCAAAAATGTGCTTACTAATTTACTTTACTGTGGCTCTTGTCTAAAAGTTTCTGAAAGTCAAAAGGCTCACAGTTTCAGTTTGCCTTTCTCACAGTGCTGTGATTTCCAGTAAATGATGGGCAGCAGATGCATATGAGTCAGGCATGTGAGCCCAGATCCTCCCCTTGTTCTAATAAAATGAAGAAAAAATTCCTGGCAGCTTCCCTGTCCAATCTGTGCACAGAAGAACATGAGCCAATAGGAAACCTGCATTTTTAGACATGAAACAGGGAAAACTGAGGAGATAAGGAGAAACTTCTCCTCTCAGAGAATACAAGAACTGCTTTCCTTAGATGAAAGGTAAGCACTGTAGAAACTCAGGAGCACATGCTATATGGGATAAATAACTTTGCTATTTGCCACCAGTATTTGATGTTCAGAAGTGCCCTGCCTTCCTCAGAATATGGAAGTTCAGTTTCATTCATATTGGGAGAAAGGAAAGAAACCTTCTTAATCCTCAGAATATGGAAGTTCAGTTTCATTCGTACTGGGAGAAAGGAAAGAAACCCTTCTTAATGAGTGAGTGTACTTTTGAGAGCAATGTACTGCATGAACTGCAGGTTAGCTCAGTAGTTAAGAGCCTCGTGACGCAGTGGTTAAACAGCTGTACTGCAGCCAAAACTGTGTTCACGACCTGGGGTTCAATCCCAGGTAGCAGCTCAAGGTTGACTCAGCCTTCTATCCTTCCGAGGTCGGTTAAAATGAGTCCCCAGCTTGCTGGGGGGGGGGGCAATGTGTAGCCTGCATAATTAACTTGTAAACCGCCCAGAGAGTGCTTGAAGCGCTATGGGGCAGTATATAAGCAGCATGCCTTTTGCTTTTAAATATCAGGCTACGGGACTCTATGGGGCGGTATATAGGCAGCATGCTTTTTGCTTTTAAATATCGGGCTACAGGACCAGTGGTTGGGAGTTGGATTCCCCACTGTGCCTGGGGAATGATGATTCATAAGGTCCCTTTCTGATCTGCAATTCTATGATTATGATTATGTGTCCACCTCATTTTCTCTATTATCCACTAGCTCTCTTTTGCAGTAAAAATAGCTGTTCCTCCTTGTATTGATAGTAATAAGGCTGAAACAAAAGTGCCTTGTACAATAATAACATTTTCATATGACAAGATTGTGGACTCTGGCATATTGTTATTGAGTCCCTCTTACTCACTGTTCTGTATTCCTGTTCTGCTCCAGGTGGATTTGGGGCATCAGGAGAATAGAATCTTTAAAGTTTTACAGTTCTGAAATACTGTTCACAAGTGCATCTAATACAAACCAGTGTTTACTGCATTGGTGGGGAGTTGTCACCTTCCATTAGTAAATTTTTTATTATACATTGCCTGCTTTATTCTGTTCCAGTCTCTTCAAGAAGTTCACCTCTACACTTGTTCTAGATTCTTTGTTCTGATTTGCTGTCTATACAAGTTCCATGAATAGGCAGCTGCTCCTACTGACTCAGAAACAGTAGCACTCCTATGTCAAAAATGGAGAAACAAGACCTAGTGGTATCATAATAATGAAGTCATCCAACATTACTGAGTAGTAGGATTGAGGGTGGAAGTTGGCTCTAGTGGCCTTTAAGCAACAAGAAAGCTGCTCTACATCTGTATTATATCGCAGAATTTTGGAAGTGTGAAGAAGTAGTGCAGGGATTCACAGAGCAGAATAGATTTAAGTTCTCCAGTTTAGTCCACTCCTTTTTCTCATCAACTAGCACTTACAGTTTCAATAACTCAGACAATTGCAAGAAGAATAAAAGGTTTTATTTACTTACATTGAACAGATAACAAGCTATAACATGACTGCTTTGGACAACAGGCCTCAACTGACTAATTGACTTCAATAGACTAACAGAGAGAAAAAAGGTCTGAGTAGACTTTTGAATCAGGAGATGACTGGTTACTGTTGGGCATATCGACTATCATCCCAGCCCAGAAAGGTCCCTCTCAGCCACACCTACAGGAGGCACCATGTGAGGCTGCAAAACCTGCAACATAATAGGAGGCACCATGTGAGGCTGCAAAACCTCCAACATAATTATTGTACAGTGGACCCTCTACTTACGGAATTAATCCGTATTGGAACGGTGGCTGCAGGTCGAAAAATCTGTAGGTCAAGTTTCCATTGACCTACAATGCATTGAAAACCCATTAATTCTGTAACCGGCCATTTTTGTTCCATTTTGGTTTTTTTCTGGTGTGTAGGTTGATTCTCAGGCTGCAAGTCGAACCTAAATTTTGTGGCCAGAGAAGTCTGTAACTCGAAAAGTCTGTAAGTCGAGGGTCCACTGTGCATTAAACACGGTCTAGCAGAATGAGTGTTTGGTTCCCTGTAAGTCGAGGGTCCACTGTATATTAAACACGGTCCAGCAGAATGAGTGTTTGGTTCTTCTAAGGGGCGATACCTTTTATTTCAATCGGACTTTTGTCCTCAGTCCATGTACTCATGTTCACAGTGGTTTTCTTACACTGTTCCGGTTCAAGCAGGTCTTGCTGTTTTTGTTAATATATGGAAGTGTTAAAACACGAAACATCTCCTACAGCTCGAGGCCGGCTCCCAAGCCAGCTGCAGCAGGGCTCATCTTGCAAATAGGTTGTTGTATCCAAGTGATCCATGAAGATAACTAAGTGGCTAACTTTCGGCCATTTACTGTCATAGTCTAACCTACCTCATAGGGTTGTGGTAAAGACAGCTGCTCTCAGAAGAGAAAGTCTGCCTCAGGGTGGGGGACAAGGTGTTCTGCACTGATGAGACTCAGGTGTGGGTGTGCGAGCATGCAAGGGGATGGGGAGAGGCTGGGCGTGCGTAAGGAAGCATCCTGGGCCAGCATGTGTGAAAATAAGTGTCAAAAGGGCACGTGAGAGTGAAAGTTCACTCCTCAGACACTGGAAGGACAGATGCTGAAGCTGAGGCTCCCATACTTTGGCCATCTCATGAGAAGAGAAGACTTCTCGGAAAAGACCCTGATGTTAGGAAAGTGTGAAGGCAGGAGGAGAAAGGGATGACACAGGACAAGATGGTTGGACAATGTCATCAAAGCGACTCACATTTATTTATTTAACTTATATGCTGCCCACTCTATCCAAAGGTCTCTGGGCGGCTTACAACAATTAAAATACAATAAAAAGATAAAACAATATAACTAAAATAGATACTCTAAAAATTGAATGAATTTGACCCAACTCCTGGAGGCAGCGGAAGACAGGAGGGCCTGGCGTGCTCTGGTCCATGCGGTCACAAAGAGTCGGACACGACTGAAGGACTAAAAAACAACAACAAAAGACAGCGTGGGAAGAAGGCCAGAACGAGCTCTCTACTAAACACAGAATATCAGTCTAATAAAGGAACACAACTACGTGTCAGCCGAACTGGCTTTGCACAGGAGGCGCCTCTTGAAACGTTAAGCCAGCGCTGCGGACCGGGCTTCTTTATGCGGTCAAAAAAAGCAGATTTAGGAACCAGAAACGCAGAATGAAGACATGGAAGACGCAACTCAACGCACACACGCACTCACTCGCTCGCTCGCTCGCTCTCAACTGGGTAAACGCACACACACACACACGACGTTTTCGGCATCTTTACGCCTCCTCTGGTTGGGACCGAGAGGGAGGTGGAGACTTCTGGCCAATCCTCATCCGCTTTGCCTTAGCGCGAGGCGGGGCGGAGCAGCCAATCGGAAGTAGGCGAGGATGACTCCGCCGCCGTGCTCGCAGCTCGTTGATGCGGCGGGGCGGGGCAGGGCGCGTGTGGAGGTGGCCGTTGGAGCCTCCGCCTGCTTTCCCCTCCCCGGTGCGTCGCTCGCTTGCGCGCCATGCTGATCACGCTCTGCTACTTGTACCTGTGGGCGCGCTGGGGGACCTCTTCGGCCGACCTCATTCGCCGCACTGTGCGCCGGCTGTACCGCTCGCGTTGCTCCTTCACCTTCTTCTGCGGCTGCTCTTGCTCATCCAGCACCTCCTCCTCCTCCTCCTCTTCCGCCTCCACCAGCCGTGGGTGCACTTGCCAAAAGCTGCTCCACACACCCTCCCACCGTCCACTACGCGAGCAAGGGCCTCCCCGCCTCTCTGAAGAGAAAGTCTGCCTCAGGGTGGGGGACAAGGTGTTCTGCACTGACGAGACCCAGGTATGTGTGTGAGTGTAGGGTGTGTTTGTGTGTGTGCGCGCGCGCGCAAGGGGGTGTGTGTGTGTGCGCGCGCGCGCGCAAGGAGACGGGGAGAGGCCAACATGTGTGAAAATAAGTGTCAAAAGGGCATGTGAGAGTGAAAGTTCACTCCTCCGACAAGACTGTTTGTTTTAGTTGTTTGTTCACAGTCCTTTTTACCCTGTGAGAAAGTGGCTTTTCCTCTGACAGCTGTGTGATAAGCGGAAGGAAACAGATGTGAATTCTTTTTGTTGTTGAAACGGAGAGAAAGTGATTTTTTTTTAAAATTAATGGCTTACCTGTTCATAATCTTTACAGCTTGCATTTCCACCAGAAACGCTCCCAAGCTAGCCTGAAGATGGATATATTACAGTAATAACGGGAGTACGGTAGCTATTTAAAAAAGTTAACTAACTAACCTGATCCCTTGCAGCATTAACGTTTGTAATGTTAGGATATTTTAGGGTCCAACTTCCAGAACCGTCAAGCACCATGTCCTTTAGCTATGAGATGCAGAAGTAATGAGGTATCTACTTTTGTTCTTCAGGAACATAACTTTGTAATTGCATTGGACTCTGTGGATCTCAAGTTCATTCTGAACCGTTAAACTCACTGGGATGACTATCCCAATCACTTAATCTCTTGTCCGACCTACCTACAGGGTTGTTGTGAGGATTAAGAGGAGAAGAAAATAGCCATATATGGTGCCTTGAGTTTGTTGGAAGACAAACATAATTAACCCATAAACAGATCATCATAACAGATAATACACCATTATTATTCTGACATGTTGATCAGACCTGGAATGCAGGAGGACAGGGCTACATGTGCATCTGTACAATGATGGATAATTTCTGAACATCAAAGAAATTTCTTTTTGAATTTCTCTTTAATTTTATACCTGTGACTCCTGGTATGCTGATATAATTCTAGCGGCAACATTTTCTTTGTATAAGCTGCAGTCTCCTTATCAATGATTAGGAATAGGGTTTTGCAGGCATGGGTGGCTGTACAACACTAAGATACCTTTCAAATGCTGCACACGAGTTGTTGTCTCTCCTGATTTGTCTAATCTTGTATCAACCAAGAGCTTAAGAAGTTCCCCTATACTGGACATAATGCAAAGGGCATCATGGTAGCATTGGTGACTCATCTAGAAAGGCAATCATTGTGCCCTCTTCTAAATGCTAGTACAGTGGCTGATAGAATTATGCAACCAATTGCTTAAATATATGTCAATTGCTGTCGATAGTCTTCAGAGATGTAAGATAATGAAATGTTAGTTAAAGATGAAAGTCTGGTGCAATAAATGATGTAGGTTTTATTAGATAAAATCAAGTTAGCAGAATTATTGCATATATAAAAGCCATTTTCAGTATATGTGCAATGCAAGCCAATGGCTGAAATCCTGTTGCAGTAGTTTACACCACTTCAAACTGATGATGTAATCACCTTTACATAGAATAAATTACAGCAGCAATATTTCACCTTAAATATGTTTGCTCAATTCTTTTCAGTGTGGCTTACTCCCAGGTAGTGCAGCTGTATGTAAGCAAGAGCTGTGCCTGAAATAGATTGCTACCAATTTAACCTTGTTTATGGGCTTGTGTTAAAGGGAGGTGGTGTCACTGCGGCCTAAACCGCAGAAGCCTGTGCTGCAGAAGACCAAGCAGTCGTAAGATCGAATCCACGTGACGGAGTGAGCTCCCGTCGCTTGTCCCAGCTCCCACCAACCTAGCGGTTCGAAAGCATGCAAATGCAAGTAGATAAATAGGGACCACTTCGGTGGGAAGGTAACAGCGTTCCATGTCTAAGTCGCACTGGCCATGTGACCACGGAAGATTGTCTCCCGGGGAGGCGGTAGCGGGATGGTCTGAACCTCCTGAGACACCTTAGGGATAGATAGCACTTCAACGAGAGCCTCTATGCTCTTGTCTCGCCTTCCACAGCTATGCATAAAATAAAGGGGTACGTGATACATTGCACATGAAGTTCTGTGCATGTTTACCCCAAAATAAGAGGGTAAACACATGTTCATAATGAAAGGTACTTTAGAGCCGGATTATATATTATATACTCAAGCTGCCTTGAGTCTCCATGGGACAAATTGGAGATTGTGCAGCTTTCCAGTTGTCAAACTGTATGTTCCATGGGTCAGTCATTGAGGGCTATGTTACCTAGCATTTATGAGAGGTCCAGTCCAATGGCATCTGGAGAGACATATGCTCCTCACCTGTGTTTTAAACATGTGATATAAAGGAATTGGGAGTGGGGAGGAAATAACTAGAAATGGCTGGTTTTCCAATAGAATAGCTGATGGAGATACAGTAAATATATTTCTAGTTGGATTTTAGTTTTGTGGCATGTTAAGGACACCCCCCCCGGGACTATTAGTTTTTTTATCCATAGATAAGGGAGCACTGTCTGTATACATCTCTATTGGCACTACTAGTACAAAATGAAACTGCTCTCTTACAGTATATGCTTAGAGAGATGGTTAAAAATAGACCAATGTTGCTAAAGAGTCCTGTGAAGTTTACTTAAACTCTGAAAGTGCCAACTAGGATTAACGTTTCCCTCTTTTTCTCTCACGTAGTCATCTTGATGAAAACTGTAGTGAAAAAGTTGTTTTTTCAGAGCTTCAACGTATTACCTTTTAAAAATAAACTTCTCAGAATCCACAGACCATGCTGCCTGGGAGTTCTGCAGGCTTAGTTCAAAGAAGTAACTTTTCCAAGCTTTTCCTTTTCCAGACTTTTCCCTTCTATATGTCAGTACACAAGGTACCATAAAAGATGAAAACACTTTATTTGATAGAGTGGGTGATCTGGAAGTTACATGGTATGGTACATCAAAAATAGGAAATTTGTCTTCTTTAGGTGAGTGTAGGTAAAGGAAACTGTGCTGCAGTTTGTGTTAATTCTTGAGGTCTTCTAAAGATATATATTAGAGTAAATATTAAGAAAAGAGAGTAAACCTCTCAATGTCTTAAATATATATTTTTCTCTTCTAGTCTCTTGATGATTTAAACCAATGGACATTGCTTATCGTGTCACCTTTCAATTATTTGGACAAATTATTTGAAGTGGAGCATATAGCATTTGTGACAGAAAGCATTTCCATTCAAGCAGGTAGTTTACAGCCTCTAATTTGCTCAACAGAAAAGGTAAGTTGGTTATTGTCATTTTTGTTTTACCAAAAAGTCTCTGTAATCTGTTATTGTAGTAATAAATTTGTTTTTTAGTACAATGTGCTTTAGAGGACACAAAACATATTTTATAATGTAGCTACAACTGTTTGATTGCATTTCTATTTTAGGATAAGATAAAAGCAGTAACCTAGGTTTGTCTCTTGTATGTTCTTCTGTCCAAGCCCATTGAACCAAATACAGTGGTGCCTCGCTTAACGGCGATAATCCATTCCAGGAAAATCTCCGTTAGGCGAAAACATCGTAAAGTGAAAAAAAAAGCGTTGAAACCTCTTCAATGCATTCCAAACTCACTGTCCAGCGAAGATCCTCCATAGGGCAGCCATTTTTACTGCCTGTCTTGCGAGGAATCCGTCCCAGAAAACAGCGGGGAACCATTTTGTTTACCCGGCAGCCATTTTGAAACTGCCGATCAGCTGTTTTAAAATTGTCGTTTTGCGAAGAATTGGTTCCCGAAGCAGGGAACCAATCATCGCAAAGCAAAAAAACCCCATTTAGACCATCGCAATTGCGATCGCAAAAAGATTGTCGTAAGCGGTTTCATCATAATGCAGGGCAATCGTAAAGCGAGGCACCACTGTATAAGTTACTGAAGTTGATGATGGTATCTAATTCCTCTTTTCACTGGGGCTTACACGAATATATTGTTATGTTACATTGTATATTTACCATTGTATGTTAAATCCCTGGCACTTCATTGTATTTTCAGTTTTCATTGTCATTTAGTGGTCAAAATCCCCTTGCTTAGCACAGTAAATTGCACTAGAGTGCTACTGAATCAGTGGGGTTTGGTGAGTCAATTCCTTTTTAAATTTTGTTGATTCAGATGGGCCTAGTCGGACTGCAGTATATTTTAGCACACTAAATTACAGTTAGAGTAGACAACAGGAGTTTGACCAGTTTTCTCAGGCGTATATGAAATACATTAGTAGAAATAAAGTAAATATAATTTCTACTGCATTGTGGATCTTTTTTCAATTCCTGCATAAAATTTCTTAAAAAATTTCTATCTGAAAGATAGACATAATCTATCAATGTTCAAACTATGACTTTAAATATATAAAGATAGGAACGTTAGCACAATTTTGCAAATGTGCCTTGTATATTGTGGTAGCATGTATAAAATACATTTGAGAAATATATTATGTTTTCTTCTCAGGTAGTGAAGTGGTCAGATTATTGTTTACCTTTGGCCTTTAAAGCAGGTGAACCTTACGTATTATTTGCTGAAGCCAGCATAGATAATTTCAGCCACCTTGGGATAGCTTTCATGGAAGATAGACTCCAAATGGATAATGGAATGGTTCCTCAAAAAATTACATGTAAGTATCTTTACAGTTAAGTGTATCGTTTTTCTCTTTAGACACCCCAGAAATGTTTGCAGTGACACCAATATAGCTTCAGCATTTTGTGCAAAAAAGTGCAGAACATTCTACAGTGCTGCTATCATTTATAATTACAGTTCCATTGTTGCTACTGAATATCAGTTGTATATGTTTCTGAATTTAATGTACAGTCTTATTTGTTGCTAACTCAAGAATATTTGTGTCACCTTTAATGCAGTACTAATGCCCGTGTCCTTAATATCATTTCTGGAAGGGTACCATTGAATTCTTCATGACTTGCATCTCTTTGATAACAGTCACTTAACTCCACTGTGTAGGAGTGTCAAAACTAGCTGAGGCAGTAGCAGCACATCTGGACAGCAATGGAAAGCCTGGACATAGATAGAATAGATACTTATGTACACCACCCTGTTATATGGTTTCCATCACTGTGGTGATATTGGTGCCCTGATATAGTAGAGACAAGCCTTCTTCAAGACATGAGGTGTGTGCATGTAGTAGTAATGCTGTTTGTAATTGCATTGTTTCATATTTTGGATTCCTGCACACTTGTGAAAATGTTAGCCAACTCAGGTAATTGGTAAAATAACGTAATTATATGCCCATCTATTTAAAAGTAAGTTCTTTTGCACTCAGTGGGGCTTCTAATTATGTGAGCATAGAATCACAGCCTAAATTACTTAATGGACTCTTGCTTTGTTATACATGTAGAAGGGAAACAGCATAACTATCAGTGTCTTCCAGCAGCAACTGACAAGTTGCCCTTGGGATACTTGAGGCTTCACATGCTGTGAGAATCCTAGCAGAAATTCATTACTTGCTAGAAGGTACTGAACATTACACAGCAATTTGGCTTCCAACAAAGCAGCAGAATTTCAGATATTTTTATGGATTTTGTATTAAAACTTGCAACTTGATTGGAGCTCTTCCTTGTGAAATAATGTTGATGCCATTCCTATGAACACATTATCTTACCTAAAGTGTGCATTGTTGATGAGAATTGTATTCTTAATGTGTTTATCTGAATCCAGCTCTGTGGATAACATTGGATATAAGTTTCTAAGTTCGGGAGGTAAAAATGCAGCTGCAAGCATTGAACATAAGCAACTGAGTACTATACATGCACAACAGATGGATGCATGTAAATTGGAGTATAGTGGTGCCCCGCATAACGGGCGCCCTGTTTAACAACGAATCGGCATAGCGATTAAGTTTTTGTGATCGCATTGCAATGTTTTAAATGGTAAAACATCGCCTTGCAATGATCGGTAAGCTGTTTCGCTTACCAATTTTCGCATAGCGATGTTTTTAAGAACAGCTGATCGGCGGTTCCAAAATGGTTGTCGCGTAAAAAATGGTAGCCGTGTAAAAAATGGCCGCCCGCTGTGTTTTCGTGCCCATTCCTCACTGGGCAGCGAAAATGGCGGCCGTATGGAGGATTTTTGCATAACGGTGAGTTTTTAGCCCATAGGAACGCATTAAATGTGTTTTAATGCATGTCTATGGGCTTTTTTGTTTCGTATAGCGACAAATCCACATAGCGGCGATTTTTCTGGAACGGATAATCGTCGCTATGCGGGGCACCACTGTAGTTGACTTTTAGAAGTTCATTCCTTCTGAAAACAGCCACTGAATTTTCTCTAGCTGGCTACAGAAATCTCAGATGCTCAAATAAATGCATATATTTTTAAGTTTTGTCACTTGATTTGGACTTGCTTAATAGTAATAAAACACTACTTTTTGCTCTAATAGCTAGACATTTCTTTTGTATATGGGCACAGTACCTTATTTGTGTTGGATTTAAGTAATACAGTAGAAGCATTTTGTTGCTAGTGTGAGTGATATGCTTTGTCATCAGAATCCTGATTCAAAGACCTGCTTTGTCCACTTAGGATCTGGATTAGGGTTCAAATAGTAACACTGAAGTACCATTATAACAATGCTAACTCCCATAGCAAACATACTGGTGATAAAATGCAAATGTTTTGTTCATTAGAATTAAGCTGCCAGTGTTAGTTTCTACTATATTATTTACACAGTAATATTTAGATGCCATATTAAACTGTTTTGTAACTGCTATATTAAAATGTTTTAAAATATTTTAGCTGTGCATGTGCAGAAGTCAACACTGGAAGAGTTAGAACTGTCAGCAGGTACCAAAAATGAAGGAAGTCCTAATCAGCATCTTGCCAAACTGACTCAGGATCCAGATGCGGAGGGTACAGATTATGTAGGAAGGAATGATCAAGAAGTACAGAGAAAGAAATGTGAACAACACAAAGTAAAGGAACAACATGAACAACTTGAACAAATACCTGAAAAGGAAATAGATGTTGGTGAACATCATCACTTGCATCTTTCCAGTTGCCATGAATGCTTAGAATTGGAGAACAGCACAATTGAGTCAGTTAAATTTGCTTCTGCAGAGAACATTCCCGATCTTCCTGATGATTACAGTGGCAGTTTGGAAGATGTTAATTGTGATTATTTAACAAAACATTTGAAAAGAGTAAATGTTACAGGGAAGCCACCTAATATTTTAGTTTATGTTGGTTCTGACCCCCAAAAAGTGAAATTTGAAGAAATAAAGTCAATAATCATGGAATGCATTGATTTTAACACATACACGGTTTACCAGTTGTTAGAGAAACAAGTTTTCACTGTTCCTTGGCTTGATAATGCGTTGCTGTTGATCATTGCTACATCAGAGCCCATTTCAGATGCAGTATCCAAACAGTTTTTAACTTTCATGTCAAAAGGTGGGAAGATTTTGGGACTTTCTGCCTCTTTCATTTTTGGTGGCATACAGGTGAAGAATAAAAATGAACTGATGGGCAAAATTCAAGGCTTTGTGTTTTCAGATGAGAAGAACAATGAAATTAGACTAAATGTTCTAGCTAGTGGGAAATTTTTTGAAAGTGAGATTACAGAAGAACTCAGATCAGTGAAGCCGTTAGGTTTCTTGGACAATCAAGACAAAGACATGGTAGTTGTCCATCTGACCTATGAAGATAACGGAGGAGAAGCCATTCTTTGTCAGGTATTGTGGACTATGTTTCATTTCTTTATTTTTCCAGTGGATCCTAAGTTATATTATTTGCAAGACTTTGGTAGACTTTGAATGCATTGATTTTAACAAAGTCATGTATGTAACTTAGCAATTTATAACATGTCTTAAATATTCATCTTAGAAAATATTTTCACTGTGCATATTTTGGCTCCAGTGCGATCTTTTGTGGGAGCAGAAGACACTCTTTGCAGTGTTACTGACTCCCCAGCAACTGTAGGAATGGTAAAGCTGTATTCACATGATCTATGATTTGAAAATCATAAGTTGTCTCAACATCAGTTGGGATACAAAATTCCCACTGATTGTTTTATTAGAATAGCATTTCATACCACAGCTTTTTCAGTTGATATAGAAGACAAAGTACCCAATTTTAAATTTTAGATTACGTGAAATAATATGTAATTTAACATTTTAAATACATTCCAGTCCATTAGAGCAAAAGTTATTTGTTTATACAGGTTTGACCATTGTTAAATTGTCATCAAATCACCTCTGACTCATGTTAATTAACCCTATGAATAAGTCATATCTTATCATTAACAGCCCTGCTGAGCTCTTGCAAACTTAAGGCTATAGTTCCCTTTTGTTGAGTCATTCCAGAAAAATTATAGAATACGAGGGGGTGCTGATAAGTGTTGAGCCTTTCCCAGAAAAAATTGAGCCAGGAAGCTATAAATTGCAGGGTGTATTGGCCAATTCGTCTGTATTCAATGGTGCAAAAATCAGCTACATATGATTTTAACTTATCTTTCATGTTCAGGTCCAAAGTGAACATGGCAGCACCTCCAGAAAAGTTCAGTGTGGAAGAGCATAAGACCATAATCACGTTCCTGTTTCTCCAAGGGAAAGGTGCAAAGCAGATCCATGATGAAATGTCACAAACTATGGGTGACAGTGGCCCTTCATAAGCAACAGTTAAACATTGTAAAACTGTCCATTTCTGTGTTGAAAGTGAGAAACCCAGAGGAAGGCTTTTTTCTGTCTCTGTGCCTGCAAATGTGAAAGCCATCCATGACATGATCATGGAGGACTGCTGAATGTCAGCCAAAAGTATTGCTATATATCTGCGAATATCGCATGAGAGAGTTGGTGCCATTATCCACAATGACTTGGAAATGAGAAAGCTGACAGCAAAGTGGATCCCCAAACTTTTGACAATCGAACAAGACGGGAAACATGTGGAGTCATCAGTGGCTGTTTTGGAACATTTTGCAAGAAATAAGTCAGATTTCCTGGGCAAACTGGTAGCTGGTGATGATACATGGATCTACTGTTATGATCCTGAGACAAAGGAACAGTCTAAGGAATGGAGGCACAGTGGTTCCTCCTGGCCAAAGAAGTTCTGAGTACAAAGGTTGGTGCAGAAGCAAATGGCAACATTTATTTTGGGATAAGAAAGGAGTTCTGGTGGACTACCTCCAACAGGGTTCAACCATCAATGCAAACTATTACTGTGCTTTATTGACAAAGTTGAGGCAAAACATCAAGGAAAAACGTTGAGGAAAGCTCTCCAAAGATGTCATCCTGTTGCATGACAACGCCTCATCACACACTGCAGGTGAAACCATGGCAAAACTGACATCCTTAGGCTTTCAAGTGATGTCCCATCCACCCTGTTCTCCCAACCTGTCTCCTTCTGATTATTATCTGTTCCCCAAATTCAAAAAATATCTAAAGGGAAGTTTTTTGGAAGTAACTAATGCTGCAAATGAGTGGTTACACCAGCAATTGGAAGAATGTTATTTTCAGGGACTTAAGAAGCTGCAGGACAGATGTCGCAAGTGCATTGACCTCCTGGGGAAATATGTCGAATAGTGTGGCAGTTACAATTTCCTAGCTCAATTTTTTCTGGGAAAGGTTCAGTACTTATCAGTACCCCTTTTATTAATACTGAGAGTGGAGAAATTGAAATTGTTAAACATTTTGTATACCTCAGTTCAATTATCTATTGCAGAATACTTGGAAGAGCAGGTATGAAGCAACTAGGAAGGACAACGTACCTTCTAACTTTTAGGTTTGTGTGTGCGTGCAAGAGACTCCACCCCAGGGTTCCATTGTGATCAGAACCTAACACGTTTGCTACATGGAGGAAGAAGACAGCTGCATGCAGGGAGGCAGGATGTGTGTGCACGCATCGAGCTTAGAGGGAACATTGAGGAAGGATTGTCAGATATAAAGATGTGTCATTGGAGACCAAAGTGAAAATAATCCTCACCATGGTATTTCTGATTATTGTGTAAGAATATGGAAGCTAGACACAAAAAAAGGCTGAGAGCCCAGGGAAGAATTGAGGACAATAGGAAAAGAAGACCAAATAAGAAATTATTCAGTAAAGGAAGCCACAACCTTGAGTTTGCAATAGCAGAGCAGGGCTGTTAATAGGACATTTTGGAGGAGTTTGCTCATTTATAGTGTTGATATGAGTTGGAATTGACTTGGTGGCACATAAGTACAACAAATTACCAGTGTAGGTAAGCAAGTGGTATAAGACAAATTGGACAATGTCTGTGGCTCCAGAGATCATTTTTGCTCTCGCCCAGACCTTTTTATGATGCCACTATAGGCTGAGAAAAAATGGCCAAAAAGGGCAAATTGCGTTCCCAGAATCCTGGAAAGGTACTTACTGTACCATTTGAAGATTATTTCAGGGTCCTTTACTCTCTGAATTCACATTTAAATAGCCTTTAGAGTGACTTCTGGTTTTTTTCTTTTTTAAAAAAGAAGGCGTTTTCTGGCCTGAAACAGATTTTAAAAGGAAAATTGTGCCCCTGAAAACTTCTGGGAATGCTCTGTAGTTAATTATGTGGCAAATCTTTTCTTTTTTTCAGTGTTGACCATGTTGGAAGGGAAACTTGACTTGTGAGGTTGTTTTGCCCATCCTAGTAAAAACAATAAAAATGTGTACTATTGCACTATAATATAATATCTAGTGTCAGATTTTATAAAGTGTTTTAATATCCTTTGCTTTACATTTACAGGCACATTTAGAAGTAAATGTCAGAAGTTTGTCAGGTCGATCAAGTGATGATTTCAATTTGCTCAAAATAAGTAATGCCAAGAGGTACAATGTTCTTACCAAAATCCTGACCCGGCTTGGCTTGAGTTGTGAATTGAGTGAGATTCCACAGTTAACTCCTATTCACCTGCTCTCATCTGATAAGGTGAGTATACATTTGATTTAAAAAGAACTTTTGAAAACATTATTTGCTTGGTGTATTTTCTTAAATATGTTGATTGTTAGACAACAATGTGTGTCATTTGTTCATAGCTTTCCTTTGATTAGTCTAACTTAGAATGGTTCTAGGCCCAGTGAATTGTGTAGTCACATTGTGGCAAAATACTGTTTGCATAATTAAATATACTTAGTGAGCCTTTCAAATCTGAACATCCATAGCATCTACCACTCCATTGATGTTTCACTCATTGGTCATTTATTCTGTGAACTTAAGGCATATCTGAACTGGGGTAAAGAATACATAAAAGTTGAGCTTGTGGGGAATTTCACTTAATTTATTTTGAAAGTCATTTTTAGTAACAAAAGAAGATTTAGAAACAGACTTAAGTGTAAATTGAACATTTCCTGAAATGTTCATCCAGATTTACTGTAAGGAGATAGATGATTTTATGAGACATCAGAAGAGGAATAAAAAGGATAAATCAAGATGTATGTGAACATAAATGCAATACTAGGCACACAGAGATTTAAGACTGGAGTTAGAAATACACTGTTTTATAAATAAATATTTCATAGAATGATGTTATAATCTGCTTCCTGTGCTAAACCTCTGAGACTTTTGCATGGATCTAGTCTTGATGTTTGAGTAAAACTTCCATCACTCCAATTTAACTCCTAAAACAAACAAAATTGTGGGTTAGCGAGAGTGCTTTAAAATTTTGTACAGTGTAAATAAATACAGTGGTGCCTCGCTTAGCGACGTTAGTCCATTCCGGAAAAAACGTTGCTAAGCAATTTCATTGCTAAGCGATATTAAAAAGCCCATAGAAACGCATTAAAACACGATTAATGCGTTCCTACAGGCTAAAAACTAACCTTTAAGCGAAGATCCTCCATAGGGGCGGCCATTTTCGGTGCCTCTAGAGGGAGGAAACACAGTGGGCGGCCATTTTGTTTTCCCAGCGGCCATTTTGAAACAGCCGATCAGCTGTTAAAAAAGGGTCGCTTTGCCATGATCGCTTCCCCGTGATCATCGCAAAGTGAAAAAACCCCATAGGGACCATCGCAAAGTGATCGCTTTTGCAATCGCAGAAACTCCGTCGCTAAGCGATTTCATCGCTCAACGGAGCGATCACTAAGTGAGGCACCACTGTATTGTATATCAGCTTTGATTTGCAGCCTTTAAATATATACTTTGTTTCAGAGCAGCCTGTGCAGTTCAGCATCAAGGATCACATTGAATTCCAGTATAAATACAAATGTTTCTTTGCTAGATAATTTGATGCTAGTCTCTTTAGTAGAGGTTTTTGATCAGATTGGTCCTGAACAACCTAATCAGGTGCACTGTCAGATCAAGCTTTTATCATGCTGACAGTTAGAAGGCATTTTGCAGCTCTTCCATCTTTTCTTCTTAATGGATTTTATGGAGAAAAAAATGGAAGAAGGCAATGGAAAAAGAATGGAGGATCATGAGTGGAAACCATACAAGATTCAGTGAATAAGTCAGGGTACTGCATTATAAAAACCTATTCTGAAATTGATTCTTCTCCCAGAAGAGGAAAACAACTGTGGCTTGGTTGCCAATTTCCTATTCCTGGGCAAGGTCCTCGAGTCAGTCGTTGCTGATGAAGTCCAGGTATTCTTTATGGATCCATGTGGTTTTAGGCCTGGTTTGGAACAGAAACTGCCATGGTCTCCCGTGAGACGAACAGTGAAGAGAGAGGAACAGGGAGAATATGGTCCTGCTAGCTCTCTTTTATCTCTTCATAGCTTTTGACATAATATCACTTTGGACGCCACATTCTAATGGATGAACTGTCTCCATTAGGATGTGAGGGTATTGCATTGCAGCACTTCCATTCCTGCTTGCATGGCTAATACTAGATGTTAATGCTAGGGATTGTAGCTTTGTCACATGACTATGCATTGTACTGTGCATTTCCTCAGGACTTGTTTAAATCCCATATATTTCAACGTCTGGCTGAAAGTACAGGAAGATATTCTTCAGGGAAGTAGGATGAGATGTCACTAGTATGCAGATAATACCCAATTTTACCTGTTATATTTATCTAAAGGCATGCTGGCTAATATTCTCAACTAATGCTTAGGCAAGGTAAAGGAATGCATGAATATTAATAGTAAACAAAGACTTGATTTTTATGTGGTATAAACTTTCTTTCATGGGCAATTCATCCATCTGATTAAGTGGCATTCATCATGTTCTGTAGGGAATTACACCACTTTATTTCGGAGGTGCCAGTAGCTGTACAACATAATAACTTCACTGTCACACAGGTGGATTCAGTGGCTTGACAGGCCTTTTATCAAATAAGGATAATATACAAGTTACAGCTGTGCATGTGGTATTTTATCATGCATTATTTCCTGTTCTGCATTTTTAAAAATACACTTGTAAACTACACAGAGAACTTTGGGTATTGCGTGATTTGAACCATTGTAAGTTGGAAATTCCCCTTCACAGATTGCTGCCTTGTTGTGGCGAAAGGGCTTGAGTAATTCAGAGAAGCTATGGGCTATGCCGTGCAAGGACATCCAAGACGGACAGGTCATAGTGGAGAGTTCTAACTAAGCATGATCCACCTGGAGCAGAAACTGGCAAGCCACTCCAGTATTCCTGCTAAGAAAACTCCATGGACAGAAACAAAAGGCTAAAAGATATGACACTGGAAGATAAGCCTCTCAGGTGGGAAGGTGTCCAACATGCTACTGAGGCAGAGTGGAGGACAAGTACAAGTAGCTCCAGAGCTAATGAAGTGGTTGGGCCAAAGCCGAAAGGATGCTCAGCTGTGGACATGCCTGGAAGTGGAAGGAATGTCTGATGCTGCAAAGAAACATACTGCATAGGAACCTGGAATGTAAGATCTATGAACCTTGGTAAGCTGGATGTGGTCA